TACTCATTAGAGTAACCTACTCAATGATGAAGTTCAATCGAAATCTACTAGACAGCAGAGCGACTTCCCTGGTTTTTAAAATATTTATGATTATTTTTTATTTATTATTGTAAATTATTACATATATTATAACTATTATAACTTCTTATTCTTGTTATACAATAATMATCAATTATTTACTTATTAAATATATCAATAAAATGCATAATGTTTACCTAGGTTTGTTAATTTATTATTTTAAAGTACATTATAAGTTATAATGAATAGTTTAACATTTAAAATATTGATAATTGATTTTCTTTCAACAATTAATATATGATCAACTATTTTTCCATCGTTTTTTAGTAAAAACATGTAAAAATCATTSAAAATATTTATAATATGCATTAATCATGTAATTTATTAATAACCAAAATAATTAAACTATCCACTGAAATTTGATTGAATATAAAATGGTAATATTAATGCATCTTCATCAATCATACAATGATGGAGATGGTGGTGGATGTACGTAAACAGTGACCTTGCCGCGCCCTAAAGCTTTATTGATTTTGTTGTTAGAGCAAAATGAAAGCTGCGCTGCCACCTCCCTCCCAAAGTTATTTATATTTTAATAGGGATGTTTTGCACATGTRATACTGCTAACCGTTTCTTATAGTTTATTGGTTGCTATTAAGGATTATATTGATTATTATTTTGCTTTGTTATCGTAAAAAGTAAAATATCTATACTTAGATTTTATTTGTACGATTTTTTATTAGGTATTTATGAAATTAATAAATATTTACACTTATATATAATAGTGATTTTTCAATTAGTTTTAAAGACTATATAATTATAAAAACGGTTACATCACTGCTTAAATAATGTTAGTACATGGTGTAGTACTTAGTCATGTATGCTATGTAATAGTTCTACAAAAATATGTAATAATATTTTGTATATAATTCAGTTTATATAAATAAAAAAATTATAATAATTAATTTGTTAAAATATTTTAAATATTTAACTTAATCAATAATTATAATATTATAAATAATAATAAAAAAAGTTATTTTAATAAATATTTACTTATGATGTATTTATATTTATTTTTAGTTTCATAAACTTGACAAGAATATAAGTAGAAAAACCGAAAATTTGTTGTTAGCAAAAAAACAGAGCAAGACAACTTCAACAGGTAAAAATAAATAGTTACCTATATCAACTTAAATATTTATGCAGGTATAAATTATAATATACAATGTAAATTTATCAATATATGGGGAAAATGTTTACATCTTAAATAGGCATGAATTCTTTACATTTATAACATGTTCGTAATTGAATTGTATAAGTTGTTTGTTAGTTAAATATATTTTTATTTTTGTATGCTAAGTTGCATAAAAATGATTAATTTAATGGTTCACTAAAATTTAACGCAACTCTCTTGGTCCACTAAATCATATTTAAAGAACCATTAGTTTATTATTGACTCATTAAATGTTTAATCATTGTTTATGCAACTCGTCTTTACTAATATTTGTAAGTATTTATATGTACCTAGTTATATTTGGTATTATACTTAATTTCATACTTTTTTGAAACCAAGCTGTAATTTAGTATAGAGTATGGGTTAATAAACCCTTTTCAATGAATAATTTGTGTCTGTTTCCTGATGATAAAACGTACACATAATGACTTCTTTATATTGAAAAAGACTAAAAAATTCGAAAGAAAGAACTTCTCACTTCTTTTAGATGTTGCCTATATGACTAATGAGTTTATAATGAGTTTTCTATATAATTGTAAATACATTCTAGATAATTTTACAAGTATATGTTTATAAAAGGTTAATAATTTATTTTTATGTTACAAACATAATTATTTATTTGTGACGTGGTATATTGTGTATAGTCGCCGCGTAAGTGTGAATCAAAATATAAGATAATAGTTAACAAATTACAAAATAATAAATAATAATACATAATAAACAATGGTACCTACCTATAATTCGGTTAGGTTAGGTAAGTTTTTTCAAAAAAAAATAAAAAAAATATGCTTATATAATATGATTTATGACTAATAAAAAAATTGTAAATTGTATTGTAATTTGTATGTGAATCTAATGAACATTGCATTTAAATCTATAATAATTGAAAGTATATTATAATTYAATTTATTCTTGATTATRAAGAAAAAATATATTTACATTATTTTAATTATTAGTAAGTAATTACAAAATGAATAGATAGTAAATTAATCATTTTAGCCATTATTCATTAGATAACTTAAGATAACTGCTTGATACTTGACTATCACTGCGTATAGTGTGTTGACTATACAATTTATATGGTATATATAACTTGTATGGTTGTGTATTTTAGTTGTACCAAAAATATACAGCACGATGGTTTGCAGATGAATTCGACCGAAACTAATTGTCGGCACATTATTATTTATTATACAATATTATTGTTGTATGTTATCCAAAAGGTGTATACAACGACAACTGTAATAGAATGATGAAATATAATGCGTTTCATATGCCTATTATAACGAATTTGTGCTGATCTTTGTCAGCATCGAGATTTCTATAACACTGTACCACCTTTAGTGTCCGTGACACGATTCGTGAGAGCACAGTCGACTACATATATATTTGTTCGAAAACATGTACATACGACAACGAATAGGGAAAAACAAAGTGCGGAGAGAAAATAAAAACGACCAATAATTATCGTCCGTCGGATATATTATAATGTCTCGGTCATTAAAAATCCTAGAACAATGTGCAAAACTGACTGTGTCGTTCCAGTGAATTGAACATATTCAAATAATGTAAAACACAGCTTCAATGGCAGCGGGAGAGGGAGCCAAACCGGCGAAAGCAGTGATATTAAAGAGATTTTCTGTAAACTTTAGAAGTGCTTTTGATTAAAATAAAATGTAGATACCTATAATACTGAATGGTCAACCGTACTATTAACTTGAATTAATATATTTTAATTATTACCAATAAATCGGTTTATGGATTTTGTATTACAATAATAATAKGTACAATGAAATGAATAAAGGTTAAAGGTAGTATAATTGTTCAATTAATTAGTTGTAATTTGTATAGTATTATACAAGCTTAATAAAAGTTCAATTATTTAATGTAGTCTGTTGGTATTATAAGTATAATTAGTGTTTGAAGTATGAAATATTTCACAAAAACATAAAACATTTTTAATGTAAATATATTAATGTTGGTTATTTATCAATTATTAATTAAATAGGCAATGAGTTCTAGGTTTAATCATTGATATCAATGCAATGAATGCCGTGGTTGACATATTACTATATAAGCTAGGTCTTGTTTTCGACTATTATTTATATTTTATGGCAAAACTTAATTTGTTTCCTAAAACATTGCCTATTGTTGACGACGATGCAATGATGATTCTATTTATGACACTTAGATATGTGAAGTAATAAAAGTTATAAAATGTACCGAAATATTTTATAGTTGTCAACTTAATGAAGTTTTCAAACTCTAATATTGTTATTATACATTTGTTAATATTATAAATTTGAAAGTGATAAAATATAACTAAATAACATGGTTTTAAAAAGGAATTATGTATCATTTTGTGGGTGGTTTAGACCACAAATGATAGGCTGTTTATTTAACTTACACAATATATATTTCAGCTGAATATATGAAAAAATATATGAATAGGATAATTTTTTTGTTACAGTCTGATTAAAATATACTGAGTCAACTAATAATTATTATAGTTTAACTAGTTTTATAGTGAATTGGCTAACTATTAAATTAACTGAGTTTTATAAATTGATGGCTATAAAATTTATTTTATAAAAAAAGATCTTTAAATTATAATTATTATTACACAAATAGAGCTGTTTAATAACTGTATTTCATTTTTATAAAAATGTATTATGTCAATAGGGGACATAAAATAAATTTAAGTGATAAATAACTGATAAGACGTGATTTTTTTCAAAAGTTCTTCCAAACAATAATTTGACTCTCGTTGTTAGGTATCTTTTGTATRTTGTAATTAAGCTATTAGGGCGAGTTCTGTCTTGCCTTTCTATTTTATTATATATGTTCGTAGGTACTTATTTTATATTAATGTATTTACAAAAAACATGTTATACATTGTCACGTTCACCCAGCATTGATTTAATTATCCTTATGTTCATTTTAAAATATTAAAGACATTTTATAGTAAAATAATGATAAACATTTGAACAAATATAACTTTAAGGCCATTGGTATAAATAAATGAGCCTTTTAGATTCTAAACGAAGTGATGAATGTATTGATTTTACAATGATGTGTATTTTTTTTTTTTATGTTTTTTTTTGTGT